TATGGATACCAAAGGACCATGGGGAAATCCTTGATGGGCGCCCAAAAACCACAAAACCCTTATGCCAGCACCAACAAGAACAACCACAAGCTGTAAAACAATAAAAACTGAAAAATAAACATAAAAAGTTATTTGAGCAATCCATCAAATCGGTCATAAATTACGAAATCAATGCGACACACACGCACACATAATAAAATTTCGCTTTTCATGCAAACCCCTAGAAAAGAGAAAAAACACCGACACATCCATGTGGTGCAAAGACTTTTTATTAAGCCTACGAAGGAAAAATTAGAAATCAATACCGAACAAGGACAGAAAAATCTGTTAAATGACAACCAAAAAATGGCGAAAACAACAATTGGTAACTGTGTGTGTGTGTGCGTGTGTGTGTGGGAGGTCCTTTAACCTCTGTGCGCCTGTGTGTGTGTGTGTCAGCATCAGAAATTATCCGCTTTATTTTCGGACTGCCCGTAACCCTCGACCTAGAGAAGCTTTTACCAAAATTTATGGCTATGCATAACCGACATGGGAGAACAACAACCGATTGAAAACACATATAGGTGCGAGTGTGCCGCAGTTTCTGAGTGTGCGGTCTGTGCTTGTGAGTGTGCGTGCGTGTGTTTTTGTCAGGACATTAAAGGAGCAAAAGAAATGTTGACATTGTCATAAGAATGGCAAAGAAATGCGAGAAATGCGAACAACAACGGAATGGCGCAGAAAAGCGCAAGAATTATTATTATTATTTATTCCCGAGTTTTATAAGATTTCGGAAAGAAGGTGCCGGGCGCTCATAAATTCTATCCTTATATATTGTAAGTAAGTACACAGAAGGAAAAATGTGAAATATCAATGTGGTGAAAAAAAGACAGTTTTTATACTGTTTCCAGAAAAGGTGAAAATTCACTTTAATGCTAGTTTATAATTTCTTAACTGTAGGAAGAATATATATCGAAGAGATAGTAACGAATCAATCAAATATTAAACTATTCTAATCGATCCATTATTATAATTTACAAAAGTTTCATATTCCCCCACCACTATTTTAATTACTATCAAGAGTTTATCACTAGAATTTACTGAAATATTGAAGAGTTTAAGAGGGTTAGGGTCATTTATACACAAAATCTTTTTCTGCCAGTGCATTTGTGCCTGTTTGTCTGTGTGCGAATGTCACTCCTTTTGTTGGCCGCTGACAGGGCAGACAGATTCCGACCGGAAGTAGGGGAAGCGGAAGGAAATGGCTTCGTGGCTCCTCGCCGAGACAGTGTCAAAAGTTTAACTTTAGATTTATTTGCCATTTAATGCTGTTACTCTTACTCCCGTGTTAGGAGCTACAGGGGAGTTATAAATCTCTCAGCTGTCTAAGCAGGTCAATGCAGGCCAACATCCCGACAAAGACGCTGCATTTGCCTCTTCACATTGCAACTGCAACTGCAGCCCAATACCCACCCCTTGTCAGCATTTGGGACCAGTGTGAGGTTTGTTTGTTTGCTGCCTGCCACAAAGTTGTCAACGCGGCAACTAAACGAGTTTTGGTCTTGTGGTGTTCTGTATGAGTATGTGGTGTGTCTGTTTGTTGGTGGGCTGCCTTTGTTATCCTTCTGCCCGAAATTCGAAGTTGTTTTGCCCTCAAGAGAGGATGCGCAGGGAGAGCCAGATATGTAAGAGAGGGAGAGAAAAAATATTCTTTCAGAGTATAAGAGATTTCATTACGAATTAATTGACGTTGCCACCATATTGAAAATTATATAATTAAACCAAATGAGTAAGATTAATGGAAAAACTTAATTTATTACTTTAAAAAAGTAAATATGAATAATTTGTTGAATACTTTTTAAAATATTTTATCTTTCAACCCCGTTAAATTTTAATTGTACTTCATAATAATTGGTTTACTGTCAAAACCACTAATTAAAACATGTCAAAAATAAAAGCAGTAATAAAATATAATTTAAAACGTAAGATATTTATAAAACTGTTAGGTTACATATATTATTACAAAATCGAAATGCATATACTGTTTCACCTTTTCAGCTGCACTATAATTTTTTAAACAGTCTGGCAGCCCTTTGGACTCACGTGCGTTATCTTTGACTCGGTAAAACTGTGAAATGCAACAAGAGAAGTATTTTCGCCATCTGATTTTGCTCTCTCGCAGGATTCGCTCTTCTTGCAAAGATGAGTATAAGAAGTGGCAGAGCAGAGCAGCACGGGAGCAACAACAGTCGGAGAGTCGAAAAAGTCAGCCACTGTTACGGTATCTCCGTTTTGGCCAGCTCAAAATGAGCATGGCGACGAAAGGCAGCCAATGGCTTCGATTGGAAGCCAGTCAAAAATGGTCCATCGACGGGAGATGAACAGCAACGAGAGCAGCATCCGCCAGCAGATTCGCAAGCCAAATCGCTGCCAAAAGCCAAAACCAAAGCCAAAGCCAACCGAACCGGGCCAAGTCTAAGAGAACGTGTGTGGTAGTGAAGTGAGATATACACAGATGTTGGTGTGAGTGTGAGTGTCGGTGCTAGTGCTTTTGTATGGGTCGCAGGACCTCGTCCTCTACCTCATCCTCCTCCTCGTAATCCTCCTCCTGCACCCACTTGAAGTCAGACAACAAGAAACGTCCACTCCTTTGGTCCTAGTTCTTTTGCAGCTGCTTGTTAGTGTTAAAAGCACGCAGCATGAGTGCGCCAAAAGAATTACCACTGCTGCAGACTCAACTGCCCCATATACACACCCAAACAGCCAAAACGATGGAGATGAAGATGGCGATGGAGGTGGGAATACCTGAAGGGAGAGGGACACAAGAAAAGACATTTGAATAGTTAAGGAGCAGAAACATTGACAATACACAAGTATTTCGTGGGCCTCTGCCCGTCTTGTGTGTGTGCTCGGATTTATGCAGCACCAGTTACATAAGCCATCATCATCATCATCGGCAGCAGCATCTGAAGACAGCCAAAGGCGTCGTTAACATCAGCCAGCTGCCAAAAGTATGCTATGAATTTCGCTTTGCATGCGCCGAGCAGAGCGATACTTGACTTGAATCAAGAGAAAAGGGAAGGGGGAAGATAATGCCGTCGATACAGCACCATCAATGAAAATCGCATTAGCATTAGGATGTGATAACAGCTGCTGCCCGCCCATCAGATGGCGAAGGCAACAGCACTCGGCTTCTCGGCAATTACCAAGGCAGCAATTGTTGTTCAAACTTTGGATAACGCATACGCACTGTTGCACTCGACTGATGCCCAAGTCGGGAAGGATAGGCCTAGTGATTGTTATTGGGTGCCAAGGGTTATCCAAGAAGTTGCCACACAATGTCCAATGAGGCATTGAAAGTTACTTTGGTTGAGAGACCGCTTTTATTAGGTTAGGCGAATGAGGAGCGAACGACAACTACATTAAAGAATATGATAATGCGATTACTTTTTATTTGCCGCAATTTACACTAAGCATCGCATGGCTAAAGTTAAATTTTGAAACTCTACCTTTACATTATTCTTAAGAATAGCGAAATATTTCTTTAATTGATTTAAAATAATCAAATATTGTGATAATGACTAGATAATAGCTAAATCTTGCATCTAGCATACAGTTTTTATAGAAAATGCCAATAATTCAGTGACTACTATAATTTCAGATTAAGTGGGCTTGTTTTAATAGTTGAATGATGGAAAAAAAGAACAATCGAAATTAAAGGAAGTTCTTTTAGGCTTAACTTATAAAAAGTCTCTGTTCTTGAAAATAAAGGTTTTTAGAAGCATTTAGCACACCGCAAGGTCGAAGTTGACAATCATATTAAAAACTTTGCTGAGTAATAATATAACTTTGCATAAAAGAAAAAACTTCACTAGAACGAAGGTACCTTTTAGAACCTTGATTATGATTTAACATAAAAAGATATATAGGCAGTTTTATAGAGATAAGAACTATAACTATTATGCGTTCTTAAAACACGAAAGTACTGCAACTTTCTGCAATTCATTAATAGCGAATTCAAGATACTTAATACCCGTATAAAAGACATCTGCTTAACTGCATTTCACAGAGCTCTTACCTAAGAGCTCCCTTATTTACGACGCCTTTTAAAATGATCGTCAAATTTGCTGCATGTCATTTATATAATGCCGGTGCACCTAATTCCCGCAGGTGGCAAGTGAGACTGCTACGTTCAGCAGCGCTATTTTAAGTCGGAAGCTGCATGGTTTTCGCATTTTGCCACAATCAGAAGGAAGCTCATTAAAGCCAACAGCAACAACGTCGATGGCGATAGTAGAAATGAGCTGAAAGTTTTCCACCAGAAGGAAGAGCGGGCCCTGGAAGTAGGGGCAAGTGGGAGGTAAAGCCAAGCAAATGGTCTGGCACAGCGTGTGGGCGTCTGTGTGTGCGTGCTGGGGCGTGGCAAATTGGGGCAACAGAAACATGATAAGGTCTCAAAATGTTGCCACAAAAATCCATTGGGAAGTACAGAACATTTCCCGTTCTGGCCGGGGCGTTGGAAAATAAACCGCAATTAAATTTGCATTAGGCAATAAAAACAAAGCGGAGTGGCCACTTGTTGTTGTTGTACTTATTGTTGTCTCCGCAGCTAATTACAAGAATTTTGCAGTCGAGCAGCCGAGCCGAGCGGGATTAAAAAACAATAGCTATGCCAGGACTGTAAATGCCTTTTCAAAAGTGCCACAAACACATGTACATAAAATAATAATAATAACAAAAGCAACGCCTAAGTATAGAACACGATTAAAAGATATTATGTGGCCGCCAACATGAGTCAGAGAAAGCCAGCGAAAAAATCATCCCGAAAATAAGCCAACAGCAGCAGCCAACAAAATAAACTGAAAGAAAAACTGTTTTCATCTACCCAAAGTTAAGAGTGGAAAACAAAATAAGAAAATCATAATGATGATGGATTAACTGTTCCCAGTTGTTGTTGATGTTGTGTGAGTGAGAGAGCGAGAGTGTGGGAGCAGTAGCAGCAGCAGCAGCAGCAGCGGCAGCAGTAGCAACATCAACACACCAGTAACACTGCAACAGCAGCACCAGCAACACAAGCAGCAAAATCAGGTTAGTTATTGTTACTTTTGACCAACTTTTCTTTCCTTTTCGCGCTTTCCTTTCGTCCTGGTTACTTACCATTTTTTCCCGGTCCTGTGGTCCACTCAGCGGCTGACCACAGTTTGTGTAAATCATTATTTATGCATTAATTATTAAAACACATACACACACACACAGCCAGAGATCAGCACTGGCAGCTGCCGTCAGCGGGCGGGGAAAAGTCATTAATCTTGGCCAGCTACATGGAGCTTTTTGGGGGTCAGTACATAAGAAATTACGACCGAAATTAGGTACGTGGGCGAAGTACTGGTTAGCTGGGAATATTGAGTGAGTGGAGTGGATATGGATGAGGTTGTGGAAGTAGGAACTGAGCCTCCTTCTTCTGCCCCCGTTTAATTGAAAGTTGGTAAGCTTGCCAGCTGCAGAGTCCCTTGTCGGAAATTTTCATGAGAAATCATGGCAGAAATTCTAATTGCTGCAAGGAATTTCAATTCCAAAAACTTAGCACAAATCCAACTGAAATTGACAGAAGCTATGCTGCCATTTCGAAATCAGGTTTGCCTCCATTTGACCTCAAATTCTTCTGTACACTTTTAACTGGGAATTCTCGACTTGTGTTTGCCTCAAGTGCGAAATGTTGATTAATTGGAAATTTTCCGACTAAGGTGTTCTCCAGAATATCTTGGGATGGACAGAATTATGTTCCTACTAAGAATATTTGCCTTGGAAGGACCTTCTTTAGATAATCTTACTAGAAATATCATAATATTCACAGAGCAAACGCAAGGGTCATTAGTTCCAATGACTAAACATGAAATCAGGATTAGATTTCGCTAGAGAAATTAGGAAGTTCACGGTGTTTCTCCGTAAGCTTTTAGAACATAAGTTTAGTGCAATTAAATGTAAGTTCAGCTTCATTTCTTTTTAATCTCATTACGGTACTGAATTCTTAACTGCTTTGAGTTTTCCCCCTAACCATCATATCCTCCCCGAACAGCAGTTATACATTTTCTTCTTGGCGACTGTAGACGCTGCAGGACACCGAAAAGTTTTCCAGAAAGAGGAAACTTGTCCAACTGCACTAGAAAGTTATTTGCGAATGTTTCATTTTCGGCACTTTCTAAGCAAAAGTTGTACAACCTCCAGATAAAATCGCATCGAGGAGAATGAAATATATAATAAAAACACGCTCTGAGTTTGCCTTTTTGATAAACAATGCAAACACGAAACCCACACACATGCACTTGCAATTTGGGCCAAGACTTTTCAACTAAAGAGCACGCCCATGGATTCGGTCATCCCCTCGGCTGTGCTTTATATTGTCTCTGGCAATAGTCTCCTTGCACCCACCTTTAAAGTACTTAAATTCAATTGCATTTAACAATTAGCTTACTCCCACCTACGCCTACGAAAAACCCCAAGGTGTGTCGATTCTAATGGCAGGTTGGAGTTGACTAGTACAAACAATTTAGTAGGTATTTATTATCTGCCGGTGCACACAATCGTATACATCTGCTTTCCGAATACCAGCCAGGAAAAACCCTTGAAATATGCAATTAATTCTGCAACTGTCCTGTTAGTAAGGGGAATCCCTGGAAGTGACGTCTTTCTTGTTGCAGCTGAAACTTGGAGCGTGCGTTCGTGCCGTTCATGTGTGAGTTTGGCATCGTGCCTGGCATTAAAGAATTTCCCAATGAAGTCATCCCCATCCCCCAGCTCCATGATAGCCCAACATCCTTTGAGACCCATTAGGAGCCTTTGTGGGGTGCGGTGTTTATTTCTGTAATTGTTGTTGTCTCGTAAATTACAGTTTTTGCCCGAGTCCTTTGTCTCTGGCATTGTGCAGTAGTTTGGAAATTAATATAGACATGCAAAATGGCTGACTCAGCAGTGTGGCGAGTCCTTTCAAGTCGCATCCTTTGCAGCCGACGCTGGTTTCTATTTGCATTTAAAATTATACTGTCGCACTTGTTTGCCCAAGCCAGGTAGGGCTTTTAATGTTATTAATTCCTGAGGAGGCAGAACATTTTGGCCAAAAATTGTAAGGGAGATAGCTAAACGTGAGCCAAAAAGTACATTTGCAAATGGAGTGCCAGAAGGCCCGAACGAAAGTGCATTAAATTAAGTGGAAAGCGGCTGTCTTCCAACTTCTAGACAGACACTATTAGCCGAAATGGCATTACACGGTCCCGAACACATCTGCTTTATATGCAAAGCTGCAGCCATCCAAAACTCATCTGAATTGAGGGAAATAATTGTTATCCAAAGGCCATTGTATGCTAAACCAAAGCCTCTTAGAAGCTTTGGATGGTGGAACATTTTAAGCTGATTCAATGCGTTCAATTTCAGTGCAATTGACCCGGGGTCTTGTTGGCAAGCTCATTATAGGGATAATGCAGGCGGATATAGACTTTAAGCAGATAATTCCAATTTTAAGCTCTTTACTTCCGCAGAAAAAGTAACATACTCGCATACTCTGCAAACGTAATCAGAGAAGATTAAGCTTAATGGGAATTTCGATTGAATAAATAAGTAAATAAATTATCAATTTGTAGGCACATTTTTTCGGAATAATGTAAATTTCTATTTAGGTAAACAAAAATTATTTTCAATGGCGAATATTACATTAAATTTGTATAGCTTTGGATTTAACCCGTCAGCCGAAGGCTGGTATTTTAATCCTTCCTGGAATCAATAATGCTGGTTCTGGGAACCTACAACAGCTGTCACTTGAGCTTTTCTTTCCAGAAAATTCTCGAAAATCTTAATTAAGAAAAAACACAGAAAGGAAAGGCTCGAATGAATATCGAATGAGAATTATTTGTCTAAGATATCGCTGGGTTGGCAATCAAAGGCAATTAACAGGACAAAGGTCCGAAAGCCGATTAAGGAAATTACAGGGCCCATCCTCCCCCTCTCACACCTGCCTTTCATTACCCGCCCCCTTCAAACTTGACTAATTTTATCTACGCGTCTCTTTTTTATTGGTCGGGCCTTGTCGTGGGAAAAGGAGTGAAAGTGCCTAAATGTTTCAGCAATTAAAAAGGGTCATCCTTTGGAGTAGAAAAGGAAGCCCTCTTAGAGCAAAACAAAGTGATTTTTTGTTCCTGGAAAATAAAATCTAGCCAATGGCTAGAAGTAGATCCTTGGTTACCCTTTCTCATATTCAATTTTTATTAAACTTATTAATATAATAAAAGAAATTTATAACTAACTGATGACTAAATACACAAACCCATTTTTTATTTTCGACCAAAGAACTTTATATGACCTCTTGGAGGTTTTTTGAAGTTTAAGAACAAAGCAACTATGTATATTAAAATATGGGTGAAATAGTGATTAATTCGTACTTAAAGCGCAAACTCTTACTGTGAATCAACTATAACCATTTCTAAAAAGAGCCACTTCAAATTTGAAATTCAAAACTGAAATTGTTGAAATCATTTCCAATTTACAAAGTACTTTTCCATGTGCAATAGGTCCTTCAAAATTCTAGCAGTTTTCCGAAACCATTTTGATCGGCGTTAACAAAAAAATTCAGTTTTCTCTTTTCCCGTTTCTTGCCTTTTTTGTGCGCTTTCCCTTTTGCCGACTTTTTGTTTGCCTGAAAATTGGTTTAATGGCCAAGCGCTTTGGCAAACACACACACACACATACATACTCACAAAGGATATCGCATATTGGGGCAATTTCGTGGGAAACGCGGGATGGACTGAGCGCGCGACATGCTCCGTCCCGCTTGCTCTGTCAAAGAAGAAAAAGTGCGGTGGCACCGAGTAAAATAAATAAATAAAACAAAACAAGCTTAACAACAACATAGAAACTTTACACAAACTTTGGCCCAACATTGTTGTTGCAGTTGTTGGCGGCCGATGAGCCTGATAGATGTGTCAATAAAATCAATATTTGCCCTGCCTTTGCGACTAAATGTTCAATTAGCGCATCAATCAAAGACGCTTGAGCGACTCAAATGGAAGTTCGCCTGCGTCTTTCCAGGCACTTGATACCGGGCTTATGTGATGATTTAGGAGTGAATATTAACTGTGTGATTAGACCGCAAATATTTAACTAATTAGCTAATAAGTTAAGCCCACACACAGCCCCAATGCTGTGTACCCACTAAATTGGGTTCGTTTGAGGAAAATGTGGCGAATTAATTCTGTTGGCTCATCTAATTCGGTAAGTAAATATATATGTGTTAACCTTTTTGACAATGTGTATGGCAAAAAGGATAAGAAAAAGTAAACAAAGAAGCATTATGTTTTTCCTAAAATTTGGGGCTAATACAATATGGCCGCTTACTGGCGCTAAGAAGAAATATCAATGATTGAATTGATTTTTCCGTATTGTTATATTAAGAAAGTCATTTTACAACTTAAAAAGGAAGAATAAAGCAAAAATAAGAGCTCTTCGAATGAATTATAAATGTCTGAAGGAACATCGCGTGGCCTTAATCACAAAGAACAATCTTATAACTAATAAACAAATTTATATAATTATATTCAAGCAGAAATTGACAATAAAAAGTAATTGCAACCAACGAATGATGTTTATCAACCATTACTATTGGCAAAGTTTCCAAAATGACTTTCCTAAAAAAGCGATAACCATTGCGTTTATATAATATATGGCAGAGCTTTCCTATGTGATTTCCCCCTTATCTGATTTTGGTTGCTTTTGACCCACACAATGAGTCTTCACGCAGTTAATCAAGTAAATGGGTCAACCACTGCCTTGGCCTCAAGTCAATTGCTCAGTTCGTCGGTTGATTCCGATTGCACGTAATGCGATTTTAGCTGCATTAACAGGACGAGTGGTATTGCAATCATTTATGCGCATTTAAAAGCATTAAGCGCGTAGCAGCCGCATTAATCATACGCCACATGTGCCCGCCCCGTCGTCTGCTTATCGACAGGGCTCGCCTCGTGGCATGGGTAATCATTTGCCATGTTGACTGATTTGCAGCAGCGGCATCAGCTGCCTGGACATCTGCTGCTGACCACGCAGCACCACTTTTGTTACGACAGACGCAGCCACTGCACAGTGGGTCCGAATTCATTGGTTTTCCAAATATTTATGAGAGAAAATCTACTTTGATTTGACCAGAAAAACATAAACAAAATTGTGGACCACTGTGCACTACGAACATTGCCACAAAGTCGCACAAAGTTATGCAATGAAACTTGGCAACAGAGAGTGCGAGAGGCAGAGTGCTCGTGTGTGTCCGTGATTTCTGTATTTGCGACTGTTGGTGAGCGAAGGCAAATTTATGGCTAAATTTATGTGGCCCGAGACCCCTCAGAGGTTATCACTGGCCCCAACGAGTATACGGCCGTACGTAGTCGTATATCGTACCCACTCCCGTTCGAGTAAATATCCGTGTACAGGGTCTCCGGCGTGAATAATTCACTGTGAATTTTTAACATATTTCCAATTGAATAATTTATGACCACAAGAACAACCTTCTGCTGCGAAGGCAAATTATTGGGTCTGCTATGGATATATTAGCTGCTGAATTTGGAATCGGCTTAAAATGGATTCCTGCTGGACTTTCTTTAGTATACAATAACCCACACCCACCTCTATTTATTTCAGCACTAACATTAAATGTTTTTTCTTTATTTTCGTTCCAAAGTATAATTACCCCGAAGAACCCTGTCATGACCAAAGTTGTTTTTCCGTAAGCTGTTATTTATTTGTTATTATCAAAACAAAGTGGCGATTAAAGTGCTTAATTAATGGCATGCAATTAAAATCGGAATAGAAAGAAACAACCAGTTGCACAGTCTCCTCAATCGCTGATGAAAAGGCTTTAGTGCAGCCATACTTTTAATTACACATCTGAATAATTAATGTTCGCCACGCATGCAACATTTTAAATTACTTTGTCGTCTCATTTATTTTTGGCCACAAGGCACAAAAATGTGTGCCCCAGAAATGTGGAGTTAGTTGTTTGAAACGCTGATTAAATTATAATAATTATTACAAATGGCCATCGCTTGTGGCTTATTTAATGAGCAAAGGTTATTTTAAATTGATTAAAGAAGTTAATTGATTTAATGGGAGCAGCTAAGGATAATGTGTCTAAGGGCCAATGAAATAAGACGCTTAAGGACTTAAGTAGCTTGAAAAAAAGCACTTTAAAATCAGTTAAAATAAGATTTAATTTAGTAAAAAATGATTAATAAAGCTGCCTTACTTTATTTAATAATGTTTTCTGTTTCTTTTATTATTATATAGAATATTATCATAGAAAGCAGTGACTTACCAAGTCAAAGGATAACATACACAATAGCGAAATGCTGATCTCACAAAAACTACCATATTGCTCATACGCAACGTTGCCTTAGTCTCAAGTTATTCCCCATTAGGGCACTCATAAGTTTGATGGTCCCATCGGACCCACTCACATATCCATCCGCATCCACTTGATATTCGGATTCCTATCTCCACTTGGCATTGACCCACAAATTGCACAATTTTCGTTAACTGCCCACTTTGAATGTCACCGAAGTTCATCGAGGAGCCATCACTAGACCCGGTCCGAGTTCGCTGCCTTCTGTAATGTGTCTGCCCACTCGGTCAGTGTCACTTATAAATAAAACACAGATTTGTAGCCATTTTGTTCAACGAAAAAATTAACTTAATTTGAAATGCGTCTGGCCAAATAGGAAAAAGAAACGAGCGAAAGCCGAATCCAAAAGCCCGCAAATATTTTTACGCTTCAGCGCGTTGTGTACGTGTATGGAAACGCGTATGAGTGTGTGTTTGGCTGTCATGAATATGAGTGTACATGTGTGTGTGTGTGTGGTGTTTTCAGTGGTGTGAGGTTTCCGACATTAGGCATGCATTCAAGTTCTTAGGAAAGTTGCCCAGAGTATGTTGGGATGGAAGCGCCTGCTCCCCAGACTCCTCGGCTCGTATCGCAAAACTTGGGATGTTAAATGGGCGTGGCATCGTCTGTGGCACCTACACGGGGAAAAGCATCTTCAGAAGGAACATTTAAGCTATTTTTAGACAGGCGAGAAATGAAAAAGGATGCGAAGGAGGTTAGCTTTGAGTTGGATGGTTAGATGGTGATTTATCCGACGGAAAATTGCTAGATATAGTAAAGCCAATCATTGAATTAATAATAATTTATATTGATATTTTAACTAGAAGCTAATGCACATTTAAAAATCTTCATATTTGATATATATATTTTAATATTTTTGAATGCGAAATATTTCCCGTTTTGCGCAGTGTAAGCGTAGGCGAGTTATTTATAGATTTATGCACCCTCACGCCCAGCCCCAAATCATCATTGCCGCCGGTTTCGGGGCTTTGGGCAAAAATCGCCTTGGGCCAGCAAATAGTTAATTCGCCATCTGTGTGTGCTTGCGGACTGCTGGGGCTTTGTGGACCCGTGTGTGGATGAGCCGTAGTCCACATTATTGCAGCGCCACTGAGCAAACTACTTTGGTTCGGCTGCGTTGACCCTATTTCCTTCCAAGCCACTGGGGGAATCTCTTATATGTCCTCCGGTCTTTTGTCTTTCGCCTCAGAGACACATCCTCAAGTCATGTTGGGTAAGTTGTAACGTATTCTGACTGGGCCAATAATTAACCCCTTTATTAATATCCCAACTACAAAAGACTCAACTGAGCTGCCTGCTGAGGGGACTTTCTTAGTGTTTAGTTACATTTTTAGTGCCAGAGAGAAGAGTTCTTGAAGAAACTTTTGGATTTAAATTAGTAACATATTTTAAGGTACTTCTTGGAACTGTACAATATCCAGCGAGCCCACCATAAACAATAATTGATGACCTTTTACCAATTTTATTAAATTTCAAAACACTTTCATGCTATAAATTAATTATGGGTTAAACGTTAAAAATTTCAAAAAATTAATAAAATAATTTAATCCAACCCGAATGGATAAACTATCGAATATATTTTTTAATCTTTTTGAAGATTATGCTGTTAACATTCTTTATCTTTGACTCCATTCGAGCTGGCAGGGTATCGATTTCTCCGTAACGAACTCCCCACAAAGTTTCGCCCCATTGTTTGCGAAGTTGCCAGTTGGCTTCTCTGCACCGAGGCAGCTCCTGCCAATTGCCCAAGCCGCGATTTGCCGAACAAAGAGGCTGAGATGGGTAAACGGTTGAGTTATGCTAAATACTCGTATAGTTGCTAGGCAGTTAATTAACACGAAGGAATATTTGCAAAAAGTGAAAATATCAAATGCGGCGTGGCATATGGTGGGAGTCCTTCGGATCCCCAACATTAATCTGCGCAGTCTGCAGCTCTTTACTTTGATTCCGATCGTGATCCCCCCCGTCGGGAAGGTAATGGATGAAGTAGCATTCCTTGTTAATTTCCTTTTGGGTAGCAGCTTCTTGGGTGCAGGACTTTTCTGGGTTCCTTTCCCTCTCTACAGGTTTATCCTTCTTGCGATCTTTGTCCCCATCGCTTAGCCTCTCCTTGATCTTTTGACGTGCTCGTTTCTCCTTCAGATTCCGCTTGTGGATAAGCACCCAGTCGTACATGTTATCCAGCGACATCAACTTGTTCCGGAAAAGCACCTTGAAAAGCGTGCGCAAATAAATGTAGTCTGGCTTTTCGGCGAAATGCAGCTTCCGGCAGTATTTTACGTACAGGTAGAACTGAACGGGCACTTCGGAGCACAGGGCTTCGACTGACAGCTTGGCCTTGTACTCGGCTATCTTCTCGTACTTCTGCTTCATCGACTGGGCCCGGATTCCCTGCCAGGGCAGACGACCCCGCTGAAAGTAGAGGAGCAGATAGCCCACGGCCTCCAGATCATCCCGACGGCTCTGCTCTGCGTAATGGGCCCGTATACTGGCATATCGAGCCGTGCCCACAAGACTGCGATCCTCATTGTAGCCGATGTGCGTCTCGGAGCGCATGCTGTAGAACTTCTTGGCCAGACCGAAGTCGATCATGAACACCTGGCAGATGTGGGGACCTCGGCCCATGAGAAAATTGTCTGGTTTGATGTCGCGATGAATGAAACACTTGCGGTGGATGAACTCCACGCGGGTCAGGATCTGATCGGCCAGCATTAGAGTGGTTTTTAAGCTGAATGAGTGCCCGCAGGTATGTAGAAGGTCCTCTAGAGTAGGACCCAGCAGATCCATCACCATAAGATTGTACCCCCCTTCGGTGGCGAATTGCCGTACATCGGGAATTCCCACCCCGCCACGCAGGATCTCATAGATCTTGGCCTCTCGAGGCAGCTGTTGATGTTTACCCTTAGCTTTCTCCACCTTTACGGCCACCATCTCGCCGTCAATGAGGCACTCGGCCTGGAAGAGTTCCCCAAAGGAACCTTTTCCGAGCAGGCCCAGTAGGCGATACTGGCCCGCTACTATAACGTCAGGCAGAGATTCCTGCTTATCTGAAGACTTTTGGACTTCCAAGGGATAACTCTCTCTTTGCTGGAATTTCTCGTCATTGCGCTGTGTTATTGGTGGTTGTCGCTGCTCCTTGCGGATCTCCGGCTTGGTGCGCTCGACATTTGGGCGGCCTTGCCAACGCCTCTCGTATTTGGGTCGCCCCTTTTCCGGTTCTGCCATGCGGCTTCGGGAATTCGCCGAACTTGTTCGCAGGCAGAGGCGAAATTTTTGTCGGGCGATCAGTTGTTGCCACTTTGGATAAGTATGATGTGAAGTATGATTGAGTTCTCAGAGATATCGGAACTTTGTTCACACAAAGCTAAGAAACAAAAACCAAAATTAAATATTTAATTTAAAAATCGAATATTGCATTTTAATTAAATGGAGCGCCCGTCAGGAATTTTGTTGCACTTATTTAGCCAGAGAAAATGAAATCGGTGGCCATCAAAGCCATCTCACATCACATCCAGTCTTCAGTGTCAGTTTGAAAAATTTAATTTTGATTTCATCCTTCAGTTGAAATTGTTTCCACACCAAGTTTTCACTCTTTCCCGTTTGTTTTCGTCCATTTTTTGGCAGTTTAATAAACTTTGGCACTTATTTTCCAATTAGCCGTAGCGAATCTGCCCGCACATGGCTGTCGAATCGAGACTCTTGCTGGCATCGCTCATACACACATTCATAGGTCCTGCGGTAAGCATGTACTGCACGGCACCGGATTAATTTACTAAATTGATTACGTAACCTGACTTGCTCTGTCATCTTCACATCCCGCACAGACACCGGGACATCGTGTACATCATGTGGCTGCCAGTCACTCGAACTGCCAGGGTATCTGTTCGAACTGGGACTCAGAATACTTGCCATTTGGGGCTTGCAAATTGCACTTTCAATTAGGTGAATTCGACCCATCCTCTATGCAGGACCCCATTGGAATTTGCCATTTCCAGGACTTTACTCACATGCTCTTTTCCTGCCCACCATGCCTTTATCCATGATTTTGTACCAAAATGCCGCATTCCCTGCTCTCCATTATCTTCTTTGCCGTTAGTCGAATGCCTCTGAGTTGATTAGATTTATGGCCAAAGCGATTACAAATATTCATAATTAGATTGCCTGGCCTCTCGTGCGCCCGGATTCCGCTGGATGAGTTCCAAAAATGTTTGCTAAGCATTATGTGAATTGGAAACTACGCATAATGCAGAGTTTGAATGCCGAAATAGTTTTGCAAACTAGGCACAGTTGTCATTTACATAAAAGCAATGCATAATATATTTCCACTGAATTAGGGACAGTTTAGGTTTTGAATAGTGATTTCTCTTCTTCTCCTGAACAATTATTTTGTATGAACTATAGATGTGTTTTGTGTGATTTTTGGATGATTTTCCCTTTAATGTGTTTATTACCTAAAAGGACATTTTAGCTGATTTCCAAAACCAGGTCAGTCGAATTCTTCTTCCGCTTACCATAAAATAAACTAATTGGCCGCCTTGACAAATTGTAATGCCGATTTGTGCTTCCGCAGTTTTCGGGGAAGGTTCTCGGCTTGGAGGAGCGACAATCCAAACAACTAAATGCGTGGATCTGGCCATAAGCCCTTATTTATGCCATGCGAATGAGCACATCAAGCGGATGGAAGCAGGCCCACAAAGCTATGTTAGTCCCGACAAGATGGGCATCCTCTCGTATCCACGTCGAGCAGTTATGGCTCCAAACCCACAAGGACCACCCACTCGCATGCAATAATGCTCCCTTTATGGTTGCTCGGCAAGAGGCTCTAGAACGAAGAAGTGGCATTAATTTAAAGCTTATGGCGCATTAATTTTAATTAAAATACTGTCACAGCAGCTAACAGCAATAAAAAGCAATGTTATAACTATCCAATTCACCCTTTTCCCCTGCCACAGTTTGCCAACTTTGAATGCTGAAAAACCTCATCACGAAGCTCGGAATGATTAGCCATTTAAAGTGACTGCGCACTTTTGACATGAACATGGCCAGCTCGAACTCTTTTGCTATTTATCACATCTTGTTTTTAATTGGCGAGTGCCCCATCATCAATGCCTCGTTTCTCACATTCCTGGCTTGGCAATTGAAAACATAAGTCCTGTCAAAACTTATCCCCACCTTGGCCGCGCCCCCGCATTTCCTTTCTGATGGCATGTCAAAGGTTATGACCAAATTGTCTGCACATGCTTCGCATATTTCATAGTTTTTGCTTGTTCGTCTGCCAAATTTTTCGGTTGTTGTTCGGCTGAAGCCTCAAAACTTTTTGGACAGCTAAATCATTTGCATACACGCTCGTTTGCCAGCCAGCTGGAGTTTTGCGGCCACATGGCGAATGCGTGATGTGATGTCTTGGACTAGGGATGCTGTCTGGCCTTTCGCCTCGGTTTATGTACATATGCTTAGACGCCTTTTGGATGCGATGAAAACTTTGCTGTCCTGGTGTTTGATTCGTCAACAAAGGAAGTGGCCCGCATGCTTTTACATTGATTTAAAATATATATAGATATATCCGCCAAATATCGCATAACTCCTTAATGTAGAGGCAGTTAAAACGTGTTTCTTATCTGATAATTTGACTACAATAATCTGACTCTTTTGGGCCAACTTAAACTTGAAGTGAAATAACAAATTTATGGCCCCATCCCTTTGGGTCTTATTGCCACATTTCTTCTCCTCCGATGAACTTGACTTTTCGCACTTGCCGCCTCTCGCCTTGTAATGCAAATTAGTTCAATATGACTTGCTCGGTGCTCACTCCGCCGGCAGCCCTACAAAATTGCCTTAATGGAAATTATAATCATCGTGACAATGCGTCATGGCCACGCCCACGCCCCGCGCTCACTTCGAAGGGCGTTCGCCTGATTATCAGAAGCGGCGACAATTTCGCTGACATTGTTGCCAACAAGTTGCAGACGGAATGCGGAGGGCACAAAAGCTCTTGCACAAAAACTCATTAAAAGTGACGGAAGAGATGAACAGGAATGGTTAAGCAGGCTCCTCCCTATACAGCCGTATATATCCGTACATACATCAAACATCGGCGGAGACATGAAAAATGTAAGAATGACAAAGGCAAACAATGAGATGCCAAAATGTTGAAATTTTTTCCACCTCCCAGCTGCCGTTGAATGAAGATATAGATGCCAAATTATAGATTAAACAATGACGTGTTCCCGATAACCATTCCTCTCTCTTCCCCACCCCCCTTTTCCACTAAAAGCTTAAATACATATTCAATTTGTTGGCCGCCTTCGGGACACGTACATACAACATTAACATAATTTCGACGCGTTTCGGCAATTTGAACACGTTCAAGAACCGCATCCAAGCATCGTCCTTCAGCCCACACCCAGGCGATAGCCTACACCCGCCAAAACCCATCCACCCCGTCGATTGTTTGCTATTTTTAAATTCCGTGGGCGTAACTAGAATTTAATTTCTCAACTGCCTAGTCGTGGCTTTGCGTTGTCTAGGCTTTCGGATGGAACACGTACTCTCACTTGTTCTTTGGGCTCGGTGGAAGGATCAACCCTAGTCGGGATGCGATGGGAATCGGATGGTGTGGGCGTTGGCCCTTCAACTTAAACACATCTCAGCCCGGGCTTAGCCCAAAAACAGACATTTAGCATACGCTTGCCGCAGAATAAACGCACGGCAGGGTTGTCTATTCGATATCCCTTTATTAATATCTCCAAATGCCACCATTAATAACGTACGAGTACAGCAGACGCCGCGTTTAAAAGCAAATTAATCTTAGCCCAGAGACATAAATAAAGTCAAATTTAATACGGAATGCCTATTTATTTATCAGAATTGCCTTCGTTATGTTTAAACGCAAGGATTAATAATCTTTGAATATTTTATCAAACTTTTTCACCTTTGACATCTTTATTTTATGAGTGTACAGATTTTCCACTCCTATTCTTTTTTAACAAAAATTTGCATTTTACCCCAGCTAGCTTTAATTTTAATGTCTCACGCTTTTACACATGTGACGGGGATGTTTTTGTTATTCCTGGCTGCTGCTTTCATGTCAACCAGGTCAGAACATGACCCCAGCCATTAACGAGGGGAACTCATACCGCCGCTCCTCCGCAATGCCAAACCGTTTTAAATTTTTTGTTGACCCGCCCGCCTTCCCCTGCTTCCTGTTCTTCATTTTTTATCTGAGCTGCTGTGAAAATCCGATGAAATATCTACTTAGGCACAAGCACGCGGCCCATGTGAGGATGTGTGTGTGTGTGTGTGTGTTTAAGGACATTGGGCGTGTTTGTGTGTGTGTGGGTGCGTGTTTGCATTGGCATGTGTGACTTGGCATCAACTCGTGCGCAAAACAGTTTAAGAAAATTTCATCTGTCTTGCATTTTAATGATTTAATTTTGCATAAGCTTATATCTCGCCGGGGCGTCCTTCCTCGCTTATCAGGAGCAGGAGCAGGAGCAGGAGCAGGAGCGAGGGTGTGGAGCCCTATCGGATTTCCCCCAGCTATTCCCTGATTGAGTGACATGTCATTTGATGACATTAGCCAAAGCCTGCTTGCGTCTAACCGACGTGGGTCAGGGTAATCCCAAAACATTCCCGAATGTCCTGGCAGTGGCAGTGACTGTGGCAGTCGCCCAATCAGGATCCTCTCACTTGGAGCAAAGTTTGCCATCCCGGTGTACACAACGCACAATCCTTAAGTGTTGCCATAGTTTGTCAGCTCTGTTCAGTCGGGCAAACTTTGGAACTGGTGCTTTGAGTTCATTATTTCGTTTTCCGCTACAATTTCTCAAAGGATATGCGTAATTTCCGAGCCGAGTGACAGCTGCCTGTTGGGAAAGGGCCGTGCTCCTGCTAATGATGTCCTTCATGTCAACTGTAAGTTTCGTATTGCTTCCTGCCTGCCTTCCACTCTGCAGCCAAAGAACTCCATCCCACCCATGCGGACCCAGATGCGACACCCCCAATTCGCACCTTCCGTTGACTTTGGCACGCAACCGAAATGAATCCGGCTCATCAACGTGGAAATTCTCTGCTGATTTCTGTGCCGTCTGCCTTCTGCCTCCTGCGTGCTGTCTGCTGTCTGCTGTCTGCTGTCTCTTTCCCATTTGATTTTCCCGGTGCGTGTCCAAGGCGAGAATTGGGCCTTTTATTCGGATCTCACGTGCACATGTGCCCACTTGTCAACATCCTTTGGGGCCATCCACAGTTGGACCCTCGTTCCCAGGAAGGAG